TAGATACAGCTCTACATCATCATTGCCATACCTTTCATTCATCCTCAAAACTGAACGACAGTTAGCTCTTCAGTTATTTTTGGTCTGGTAAGCATAGTGATTTGTACTGCGAGGCAGCACAGGCTGGCATTCAGGAGCACAGCCTCTGTAAGTGGAAGCCCAGTTCCTGCACTTCTCCACTTGCTGACAGTGTGTCCTTGGGCAAGCTACTCATCCTCCCCTGTACTGTTTCATCTGTAAAATGGAGATACTAGTAGTAAATTGCTCACTGGATTATTGTGAGGATTAATGAATTAATATTTATTATGCACTTAGAAAGTGGCCCTCCATGCAATACATATGTAATAAACAAGCAAACTTAAAAGATTAACATAAACACCCTTGTATCAATTCAGGCTCTTTGCTATCAAGAGAAACCCAATATATACCCAAAAGAATAGAAATCATCCTATGATAAAGATACATGCACGTGTATATTCATTGCAGCACTATTCACAATAGCAAAAACATTCAGTCAACCCAAATGCCCAGCAATAATAGACTGGATAAAGAAAATGTGGTACATATACACCATGGAATACTATACAGTCATATAAAGAAATTAGATCATGTCCTTTGCAGGGGCATGGATGGAGCTCAAAGCCATTATCCTTAGCAAACTAATGCAGGAACAGAAAACCAAGCACCACAGGTTCTCACTTATAAGTGGGAGCTGAACAATGAGAACACATGTTCAGAACACATGGACACAGGGAGGGGAACAACACACTGGGGCCTGTTGTTGGGGGCAGGGGAAGGGAGAGCATCAGGATAAATAGCTAATGCATGCAGGGCTTAATACCTTGGTGATGGGTTGATAGGTGGAGCAAACCACCATGGCATACATTTACCTATGGAACAAACCTGCATGTCCTGCACATGTATCCCAGAGCTTGAAATTAAATTAAATTTAGAAAAAAAAAGAATCCATTGTGAAAGAATCCAATCACAAAAGACCACATAATTTATTATTCCATTTATGTGAAATGTTTAGAATAGGTAAATCCATAGAGACAGAAGGTAGATTAATTGGTGGTTGCCTAATGCTGGGAGGTTGAGGGGAAATGGGTATGTGGTTTCTTTTTACAGTGACAAAAATGTTCTGAAATTGATCGTGGTGATGGTTAAAAAGCCCTGTGAACATACTATATGACTTTGAATTATACTATTTAAATGGGTAAATCATATGGTATGTTAATTGTATCTCAATAAAGCTGTTAAAAAAATAAAAACATTTAAAAAACAGAGACTCAATTTATCTAGGCTAGACAAAAGTTACTCCGATGATGAAATACACAGTGCCTCACAGAAAGGGCCAGAAAGCAGGGTTACAGAGTTGGCAAATGGCCCTGGGAAAGGGCAGGAATCAGAGCATTTCCAGGCAATCATGCACCAGGAATGACGCAGCCATCCCCTCAAGGATGTTAAGATTTTACCAATTATTGTTGATTTCTTTAACTCCTCACAATACTTCACTCAAGCTCAGCTCCCCCCAAACAGCATCTGGTTGGCCTGGCCTGCTCAGGGGCCAGCACTGTGATTAAAGTCCCTCACTCCTGCGCCCAGAAGGGAGCCCTCCTTCACCCAAAGGAACAGGGGACTGTTAGGAAAGGGGGATGGAGCAGGCTGGACAGCCAAGGAAATCACAGCTGACTGAAGAAACCCACCTGGGACACTCACAGCCTGGACCACTGCTGTCTAATGGAGGAATAGGGGCAACTCCAGGCCAGTCAGAGAGGCCAAAGAGCTGGGGGCTGCCAAGTTCCTTGGGTCCACGGGAGCAGGTAACTGTTTCCCCATTGCCCTGTGCTGCGGAGGCAAAGACTGAGATGGTCACTGTTCATCTGACATGAAGCTACACTACCCCTTACTACATTACATCAACACCGATATACTTCTCTCCTGAAATATTTATTCACATTTTTCCCTGAACTGCATGGTGTGTGCGACTGAAAGAGTCTACACTGGTTCATACAAGGACAGCACAGTCTTGAGTTGTGTATTGTGTCCCCACCAATATTAAGCAGGAAACGAGGGTGTGGCCTGTTCAAGGAAGGGGGTGACTTCTCTGCTGAGACACTTGGTTACATTTTTAACTGCATCCTGCCAGAGCTGCCAGAAAGGTGGGTAGGACCACTTTCCATCTCCTGTTCACCTCATCCTCCAGAGGGTTCATCCACAGTTGCCTGAGTCTGGGTGGGGAGGAGGATGCAGGACCCCAGCCTTGAGATCTCAGGACCTCGAGTCTTGGCCATATAATGATGTGGCCACCACTTCTGACTCTCTCTGGTGTCTGTGTTCACTCTTCTGGGTCTCAGAGAATGGGATTGTGTCCATGGCTGGTGCACCCTGCATGCCAGTGGACATGTCTGCTCTTAGATGTTTTTGTAACGTCTGTGTCAGTACATGTGGCCCAGAGTGCTGCACAGGAGCTGGCTGGTGCTTTTTGTTTTGTGCTTATTCAGGAAATACAAGAAATGACTCGTGGGTTCCTGCATGTGCCATTGTCTGAATGACAAATGGTAAATCCTGGCCCCACTTCCTCATGTCCCCAGTGGGGAAGGACCCAATTTCCAATTCTGGATTCTTACAAGCACAACTCAAGAATATCATTATTGTCATCATAGCTGAGCCTGGAATCCAGGCTCTGGGATAAATGTGAGCCCCTCACTTCCATGCCTCCACATTCAATGGGCTGAACACCCTCTAGAATTATTCATGAGAGAGGGTGTAATAGGCCATAGATGGTATGTGCAGAGGGGTCTCCAATTCTCTCTGGAAAGGAGAGTATCACCTACTAGACTGAGTCCACTGGCCATTCTCAACTGGCTAGTAGCTGCAGAAGTGGATCTGTCAGGGAACTTACACTTTATTCTATTCCCTTATACACCAAGAAAATGGATCAGTAGCAGATGAGATGAATGAGTTTCCAACTTCAGTGTCGTTGTTTTGGAAACCAGCACAACTTGTCAGTATGTTGCCCAGAAAGACATTGGACCAGAACACCCTGGAGGCCACCTGCTCCCCGAAGAACTATATTCCACCTGGCAGTTTTACAGCCCACCTACCCTGAGAGCCTTATCCCAAGGTGAGACACGGGATATCCAGCAAAACCTGGTTCCCAGGGCCACTTCATGACCTAGCCAGACCAGGTGGTCCTCTTGTGTTAGTGGGCTGGGGCCCTGTAGAATGTCAACCTGTTCCCTGAGCACAGCATTTGTACCCATGAGAAACATGTGCACCAGCTAGGAGAAATGCACAGGACTGTCCCACCAGCTCTGAAGATGTGTTTGGCCCTGGGGAGAGCTCAGTAGACTTTATTTTGGATTTCCCCTACAGCAGATCTGTTACGACTGACAGTCTAACAAGACCCACCTCATCCTCAAAACAGGGTCTTCTCAGCCCTTGCTAGGCAAGGGTGCCCTGGGAGAGCCCCCCAGTGCTCTGGTCAGCTGTCTCCCACCCACATTCCCATGAGGAGCACCTGTGGAGACGCGGATTCCACCCCCCCACCCCCTCCGCACATCTCCGCCAGGCAATGGTTGGCAGATGGGCAGTGGCCTGTGCTAAAACTGTACTTCCTGTCTCATAACCTGTCTCGTAACCACTAAATCTTCATGAAGCTACACTTTCCAACCCTGCCCTTCTTTCATTCTGTTCAGCAATACTGAGGAACCTGCCAGGGACCCTCTTCATAGAGGCACCCACTTGCAAACCGAAAGAAGCAGGTGCTGGTGGAGACCATCTGGAGGGGCCACCATGTATCTCCTTCCCTCGCCACACACGCATCACCTAGCAGTCCTAAGATCTAGGACAGTCTGGGGGCCATTCCATCTCACCATGATGAAAGTAATAGACATATGGAGGTCTGCAGAAATATTAGGAGTGCAGACTTGGTAAAAGGCTGCATTGTTCATTGAAGCCTTTCCTGGCTCCAGCCCTAGCCACCAGGCTCCCTCCACTCCTGGTGGTGTCCAGCCCGGCCTCATTGGCACCCTGAGGCTCACAAAGAGACCCCAGGCCGACCACAGCTCGAAAGACCTTCCTCCTCCTTTCTGAGGGTAGGTCTGACCCTGAAGCCTTAGTTCCATGCTGGTGGAGGCATCCAACATGGAGCTGCCTGGTTCCATATGTCAGGTGACAGCCTCAAGTGCTAACGGGGACACACTGGTGAACACAGGAAGATGTCACCAGGAATCCCCAGAATGTGAAACACAGTGAGCCTGTAGGGTCGTTCCTCTGCAGTCCAGCAGTTGGGGCTCAAAGTGAAACTAAAGGGAAAGTGAAGCCCCCTTCCCCTCACCCAGGGAGACTGGGTTTTGGGGCATTGCCCAACGTCTCTGCATGAAACGCACTTCTTTGAAGTCTCGTATCTTCTAATTCACTCCACGCCACCCGTTGTTGCCGTTTGCCCACTATTTTTGAATGCTTTCAACTGCTCAGCATCGAGTCACATCAGTGTGCCCCGCAAGGACAGCAGGAGTGTCCTGCAGGGCCTTAGGGTGCGGGGCAGGCTTGAGGGCTTCAGCCTCCAGGGAGGTGCAGAAGGCAGCACCGCTCGTGGCTCCGGAAGGAATGAAACTCTTAGGGAAGAGGACAGGAACCAGGAGGAGCTAAGGGCAGAGTCCCCCGCCCCTCACGGGCTGAACAGAGGGCAGGCGGCGACCCGGTGGTGCTCGTGAGCTGCCAGAGGGCCAAATGATCTCAGAACCCAGTCCTTACATGGGTTCGACTTTATTTAGAAGGAACTACGGCCCTTCTACCACACACTTCGAAGGGTTTGGTGAGCTAGAATCCCGATAAGAGGATTTTCGGTTTCTGTTTCCGCCCAGCCCTAAAGCGGCTGCAGCGCTATGCGCGGCGGGGAGAGGGGGCGCAGGCCCGGCGGGGGCGGAGCCCGGAGCAGCGCTGGGCGGCAGCGGGGACGGGAAGGCGGGAGGCGCACACGCGGAATGGCCGTCACGGACCCCTTGCTCTTTGCGCGTGCTCACGGTGTGTCCGTGGCGGGCCTCGCCGGCTGGGTGGCCTCAGAAAGGAGGCATGAGGTGGCGCCCATGGGCCACCAGGAGCCTGTGCTGTCCGTCAGTTACCAGGGGACAGGGATCTGAGGATGTTCAACAACAGATACGACAGGGGCTCAGCTGAAGGACCCTGCGTGGTGATGCGGACTCAGGGGCGGCCCTGGGCCAGTCTGTTTCTTCCTGGTGCTGCACAAGGACTGAGGGCATCCTCGGGATTTCTCATGAATGGTCCCCACCTTCAGAAGGTGTCCAGAGGGGCTCCTGTGTTGTCCATGCTCCCCTTGTCTTTCTGACTCCCTACAACCCTTCACCCATAGCCTCTTCCTCCCCTGCCAGGGTACCTCTTCCCATTCGCCCATTTTCCAAGGATTCACTCCATTCAACAGCAGTAATCACATTTCCACCTCCAACAATCCCACTGGCATCTTACAGTGTTGCAGGCTCAGGTGTCCAAAGCTCCATCTTTAGGCCAGTCACTGAGGCTCTGCTGAGCAGGGGACCCTGGTGAGTGGGCCGGGGAGGATCAGACCAGCCTGGTCTCACCCAACTTCCTAAAAGTTGAAATATTGCCACCAAATGCCTGCTGAGCCCAGGGGATAATTGCATCACAATCATGCAATTGCAAGGAGCTATGACCCCAGCCTCTAGCCATCTGGGGCACAGATAGAAGAGAACCTGAGAAGAGAGATGCATACCCATGTGCTTGAACCCTTTGAGATATAGGCAAAATGGAGAGACAGATGGGGATCGAAATACCAACTTTATTCCTGATAAAAGCTGGATTGGGGATGTGGCTTAGATATGTGGCAATAAAGGGACCCCCAACACTGAACTCCAGAACTGGGCTTAGTCGCATGGCCTCAGGCTGCTCCAGCCCTCTCCCACACTATGCAGGCCCCTGTCCTTGTGCACTTGAGCTTGGAGGAGCCAATAGAGTCTTGGTCTCTGCAGGCAGGATGACTCCAGGGAGGCCCAGCAAGGAGCAGGCTCACTCCCACTCCCAGTTAGAGAAGAGTCCCCTAGAAGATGGGCAAGGACCGGGCCTTGATTGATTGATGTTCCACCTCCTAGAAGGAGACAGTTCGGCAGGACTGGGTGCTCCCACTAAATATCCCAGGTGCCTGCTCTTCACTTATCACTTCTACGTCCCTTGGAGGGTGGCCAGGTTCTCTATTCTCATGTCGCAGTGGTGCTGTTGCTGCAGCTGCCTCCTGTCCTGAAACTCTCTGGTCCATGATGCCAGTGACCTCATCTCAGGGATAGACTTCTGGTTCCCACACGGGGGTCCCAGGTTCAAGAATCACCCCCACCAGTAGAGGGTCTTGACTGCAAATTGTCCAGGTTCTTGGAGTTTTGAACAAAGAATTGGACAAAGCGCACAGCAAAGCAAGAAAAGAATGAAGCAACAAAAGAACGAAAGCAGGGATTTATTGAAAATGGAAGTACACTCCACAGTGTGGGACCAAGCACGAGCCGTGTTCAGTGGTCTTGGATACAGAATCTTCTCTGGTCCAAATACCCGCTAGAGGTTTCCCATTGACCACTTGGTGCTCACCTCATGTAAATGAAGTGGTGGCCTGCAATCAGTCTCATTGGTTGCGGAAAGCAACCAATCAAAGGCTGAAGTGAAGTTATAAAGGTCACACTCCTGTGCAAATCACAGGCTAAAGCGAAGTTACAAAGTTGCACTTCTATGCAAAGGAAGACTTGGAGCAAGTCTTCTCGGTCACTTCTTGTTCTTTGAGGAATGATGAATTAGAATCTAAATGGAAAATCTGGGCAGAGATAGAACCCCCAGTGGGAGCCACCCTGCCCTTCCATGTCTAGATCATCTGGGTTCCAACCTCCATTGGCCTCCAATGAAAAGCTTTTATCTTAACTTTGAAGTAAAGTTACAAAGTTACACCCCTAGGAAAACATCTGATTGGGTGCAAAAGAAACAACTATACATAGGTACTTTCAATTTCCCATTGCCCCACAGAAAAGGTGGAGGTTTGCAAAGGGAGTAGTCTCTGGACCTTTTGTTACTTAGGCATGGAAAGTTAGGGTTTTCCTTTCAATTTAGTTCTATGAAGTTAGCATGAAATGGCCTTAGGTTCCCTGCCTCCAGACCCTATTCTCCTGCCTCAGCCACACCACTGAAGTCTGAACTGAAGCTGCTCTTGGTGAAATGTATGAGGCCCATGACCTGGCTGGGTGCCCTGCCTGTGGTCCTTCCTCAATCACTGCCTCTCCTGCTTTTGAGTTTTCCAGGCTCCAGTAACTGGAACTACTTCTGTGACAGCAGAAACATTCCCTATTGCCTGTGCTCCTTGCAGCCATGGACAATGCCCCAGGAGTTCCATTATTTCCTTCTAAATAATCCAGCAGGATTTTTAGAAGTTCACACGACTTCTTAATTTGGTCCTGTCCCTTTCCCAACCCAGATGTGTCTGACACTGTTTTCTGGATCAAAGAAGCTTTGCTTTCTTCACAGAGGCCTACAGATTCTCCATATACCAGCAGAGCATGGTGCATGCTCATCTGTCTCCAACCTCATCCGATAAGAACGTCTCCTTTCCTGCTGCCAGGAGGTGCCCCAGCATGGGCGTGTCTGCCCGCGAAGTTCAACCCTTAAGGAATCCCCTGCCAACCTGTGGCTCATTGGTCTGGAATTCCAGGTGCTGCTCTTAGCAGCACCTAAGCACATCCAGGGAAAAGCTGGCACCTTTATGTCAGTGCCGCTCAGTGGCCTGGGCCTGCCTGCTGCCCAGAGGCAGCGAGAGGGGAGAATGTGAACCATACCAGAGCATACTGGTGTGGTCCATGCCAGGCTTTCTTGGGGCCAGTGTGCCTCATAGAGACTGGGATCAAAGGACAGCTGTGCCAGACAGAGGCTCAGCTTACCAGCCCTTCAGCCCCATAAAGTTGGGGAGTCATGAGGGGTAGCAAGAGTAAGAGAAAGAGAGAGAGACCTACAGGTGTGCAGTGCCTGATAGAAACAGTGACCTTGCGCACCGGAAAAGCTGTCCTCACCAGTGTCCTGATGCCTGGTCATTCACTCATGGGGAAAAGAAGGGCAGAAGTAGAGTGAGGGTAGAAAACTCCCTCCCCGACATTTTCAAATGTACCTGGACAAGCATCCTTATTCACAGCTGGAAAAAGTTGGATTCAGTAGAATGCCATTTTGAAAACATCGTTCTGAAGCGCTAACCCCTCTCGCCCCTGAATCCTCACTGGCTTCCACCCTCTGCTGACTTTGGGCCTCGGATTCCAGTGCCCCCAGGCTCCCAGCTGCCTCCCTGTCCCTGCCCCATGGTTCTGCGTGGAGTTCTGGTCCCTGGTTGTGTCCTGTGGCCCCATTCTCATGTGCCCTTTGCTTCTGTTTCTTTACCTATGACTTTATACTGATGTAGAGCAAGTCTTCTCGGTCACTTCTTGTTCTCTGAGGAATGATGAATCAGAATCTAAATGGAAAATCTGGGCAGAGATAGAACCCCCAGCAGGAGCCACCCTGCCCTTCCATGTCTAGATCATCTGGGTTCCAACCTCCATCCACCTCCAATGAAAAGCTTTTGTCTTCTCAAGATTCCAGTTACTTCTCCGAAGTTCTCTTCACCCCTGGCTGTTGCGAGGTGGCCCCATAGTCAAGATTCCTTAAGCTCTTGCACGTAAAATGTTTGCCTTTCTTACCATGCTGGCTCCAGCCTCTGGTCCCAGGGGTGCGGACAGTTCTCTCTTACGTCTGGTTGATTTCCAGGAAGGCTAAGAACACTCTCCCCAGGTTACAATGCCGAGCATTTTGGTTCTCTCCAGCCCTGGGTCCCAATGTTGAGACCTACCTTAGTCCAGTTCAGGCTCTCCGATGGGCCTGAGAGAAGATTTAAAAGTTTCTGGCTTTACCCTCTAACCCTCCAACCTTCCATCCCCCACCCCCAGCCATCTCAGCAAGGGGAAGGGGCAAACATGGAGACTCCCCCCAGCTCCCATGTAAACTATGCCCCCTCTGAGAGGACAGAGCAGCTAAGGACAATTTTGGTTCAAGGAAATTTGTTTGTTGTTCATTGCATAAACAAGTGGACTTCTGGGAGCTGGCCCTGCTTGTTCCCTGGGCCCTCCTTCTCTGGTCCTGCAGGTCTTGCTGCTTGTCAGGCCTCTCCTCCAACCCTCTGCCACATTTCAGAAAAGCTGAGAACCCCTTGGAGTGAAAAAGGAGGAGAAACACAGTGTTCATAGCCAGCAGGAGGTTAAATAAATACTTTCACTTCTCTTTTCCCCATTTGGGCGGAGCCCTTTCTGAGTCAGTCTGTCGGCCGACTTCCTGCTTAGGGCCTGGGCAGCCACACTGCACACAGGCTGGGCCCACGAAGGGGCTCAGAGGCCAGGCTCTGAGGCCCAGGCAGGGCCTAGGGTGAGAAGATGGCAGATGGTGGCGGCGACCTGAGCACCAGGTAAGTCTTTACCTCTCTTCCTTTAACCTTTATCTGTGGCAGTATTGGAGCTTTCATGCCTTTAGTTCAGTTTGTGCCTAAGGCTTCACTTTAGTTTAATCCTTCTTTGCAAGAACATAGGTATGCGATGTAATATAATGAAATGAAAGAGCATGTAATGGGGAAATCAGATTTTTTTTAAACGGGAGCAGGACAGCTGTTGGTGTTAGTCCAACTTGCCATAACACACGTGACTTTCTTGTTTTGGATCTACTGCTCAGCTGACCAGGACACTCTGAACATAGCAGTCGTTAGTGGCTGGGATTAACTGTTTCCTCATGATCTCTGAACCCTTTCACATCCCTCAGCCTTCCTCTACCTTCACATATGTCACGTCCAAAAAGGTGGTTTAGAAAATAAGCACTCGAGGGTGAACACCTGGCTTACTTTTAAACATTAGATGCTGTGTTCTCACCTGTCCTGGCAAGGGGCATCTGTCGGCTGTTCCCATGACTGGCTCAGGGTCTGAGTTCTTATACCATCAACCTTGATCAAAAGAAGGAAAGGGAAGAAAAAGGCCCAAGGTGACAAAAGGCTAAATATTTTCATTTTTACTTCAATTTCCTGTCCCAAGATGGGGGATACCTCTGACCAGAAGAGAGAAGGAAATCCTATCTTTTCTCTAGTAATGAATTCAGAAATAACATTACTTAATCTTTTAAATTTTTTAATACAAAAGAAATACACTATACATTATTGTTCATTAAATTTAAAACAGTGGAGAAGTATATTAAGGAAAAAGTCATCTTTACTACTCACCCATTCTTGTAGCTTCCCTTCCCAGTCCTGTGAAGAGTCTTGGGCACAGCTTTTCTTATATTTTTCTATGCATTTATGTATCTAATGCATTTTTTGTAAATACATAATTTATGTTCTTGTTTTGTAATAAATTACATTGCATGTGCTAGTCTGCATTTTGCATGTTTACTTATTTTAATAGTGGAAAACTTAAGAGATCTTTTAACCTTAATACATATAGATCTGCCTCATTCTTTTTATACATGCTATTCCATAGAATTGATATATGATAATTATTTAACTATTCTCCAGTTGAAGGACATTTAGGTTGTTTTTAAACTGTTCACATTTACCAATAAGCTATCATAACAATGATTTTTGTCGGGGGGGAGGTTTTACATCTATACAAATATTTATCTTATCTCTAAACCTTAAAAATGGAATTATTGAGGCACAGGGTCCAGTTATTTTCTTGGTCCTGCCAAATTGTCTTTCTAGGAGTCTGAATGAATGTATTTCACCAATAGCGAATGAGACGAACCATCTTCCTGCACACAGCCACGGTTTGCAAAGGTGAATGAAGAGTTACATCTTGTTTTAATTTGTATTTTTCTTACGATGTGGAAAATTGAACAGCTTTTCATCTTTCTTGGCCATTTAAATTCCCTCTTCTATAAATTGCTTATTTTTTGCCAGTATGATTCCATTGAGGTGTTTGTCCTTTTTTTTTTTTTCATGATATGGGAGAATTCACTAAATATTCTGTAAGTATAAATATAGTTTTCTTGTCCATGACCTTTGTATATGGTGACTTTTATCTTATTAAAGCTTAAAATTTAACATATAAGCCTCTTGTGATATGGATTTGTTAAGATAGATGCACCCTTGTTATAAATGAGGTGATGCTGACAACTTCCGTGAGCACTGTCAGTTTTGACAGTTGTTTCTGTGTGAAGGTGGCAGATTCGCTACTACCGTTATTCCAGGAAGAGCTCCTCCTCTAAGATCTCTGAAAATTTTTTTGGATTTTTAAACAGAAATATTCTTACATTGGAGCCACTGTAGCCTTCACAGCTTTTATTTGCCCCTATGCTTTCATCTTTTCAGTTTTTTACTTTGTGTTCATAATAGTTTTCTCGAACTTTTCCTCCATGACAATTACCTTTGAATAGGTTTCTTGTTTCTTGTCATTTCCAGTTTTTTAAAAATTGAGTGTTTATTTTTGAGGAGGGATCTTAATTTGTTTCTAGACCTCTGCAAGCTCCATAACCTCTTGCCATTCAATCTTCACAGTCTTGCTTTATTTAGGTTTGCCTGTGCTGTTAAGAACTTTGGGATATTCTCCTTATTATCTCTTAGTTGTTTTTCCAGACTGATTCTGTCTGATCTTGTGTTCCGTGTGCCTGTGGTGGCTTTACAGCTCCTCTAGCCACGCTCAGCCCAGGCATGTCACCCCAAACTTCCCTCTTGCTTAGTCACAATCTGAATGAACTTGTTTTTTTTTTTTTTTTTTTTTTTTACATTTCCTGTTTTATCTGAGATCAAATTGGTTTTTGTCTGAGCTACAGTTTGAAGTCTTTGTTTTGATTCTTATCAGTTTTTCTGAGGACACCATGAATTGATGAAATTATCCTTTTCCCTCTTGATTCGCAGTGCTACCCTTTTTGGGAGTATAGAGGTAGGGTATGCTTCTGTGTTCTCTCTTCTCTGTCCTTGGCCTGTGACAGCCCCTCCTTGTGCCAGTACCACGCTGCCACAGTGATGGCAGCTTCCCAGGAACTCTTGACATCTGAGGGAGCAAATCTCTTCCTCTTCCTCCGGAATGTCTTAGACTCCCAAATTCGCCTGTCAAAATCTTGAGATTTTGTGTGGAACTGCACTCAATCTATGAATCAGTTTGAAGAGAACGGACATCTTTATAATATTATGACTTCCATCTCGTGAATATGGTTTATGTATATTATTACTTTAAACATATTTCCTATTAAAATGTGTATGTTTCTCTCTGAAGGTTTTGCCCTTCTGCTAGATTCCTTTGTAGGTATTTGATATTTTTATGCCATTATTAACTAAAGTACTCCTCCCTTATCAACAGTTTTACTTTCTGAAATTTCAGTTACCTGCAGTAAAACTTGGTCCAAAAACATTAAATGCAAAATTCCAGAAAATAATTCATGAGTTTTAAGATACTTCACATTCCGAGGAGAGTGATGAAATCTCATGCTGTCCCTCTCCATCCTGCCCAGGATGTGAACCATCCATTTATCCAGGGTATCCACAATGTTGACACTACCAGCCCATGAGTCCCTGAGTAGCTGTCCTGGTGATCAGATCGACTGTCCTGGTATAACAGAGCTCGTGTTCAAGGAACCCTTATTTTAGTCAATAATGGCCCCAAAGCACGAGAAGATTGATGCTGGCAATTCAGATATGCCAAAGAGAAGCCGTCAAGTGTTTCCTTTAGGTGAAAATGTGAAATTTCCTGAAAGAAAAAGATAATATGCTGAGGTTGTTAATATCTACAGTATGATATTTTGAGAAAGGAAAAGAAACCACATTTACATAATTTTTAGTATAATACATTGTTATAGTTGATCTACTTTATTATTAGATATTGTTATTAATCTTTTATTGTGCCTTATTTATGTATAGATAGGGTAAAACATAGTATACCCAGAGTTTGGTACTATCTGCAGTTTCAAGCATCCACTGGGGCTCCTGGAAGCATCCCCTGTGGGTACAAGGGAACTAGTGTACTAAATTTTATGTATGAATTTGCATTGGTGACCCATGTTCTGATCCATGGTTCTATTTTTCATTCTTGTTTCAATACTGAAATGTTTTAGTTACTATGATTTTATAGGTAGTGTTCTGTAACCTACCTTATTGGGATTCAATTGAGAGACACTAAATGAACAGATAAATTTAGGAAGAATTTATGTTTTTAAAAAAATCCTGAATGACCCCAGTTGGAAACATAGCATCTCTCTCCATCTATTCATGATTCTTTGAACTTGGGACCCTGTTGAGTCATTTTAGTGCTAGGCATTTTAAAATTGTATTTGTAAATAGGAATTCATTTTCCTGTTACATTTTCTAGTTATTTCTTGTAGGCATAAGGGAAATCTATTGATTTGAGTTCCCAGATCTTGTGCTTAGGAGTCTTACTAAGTGGTCTTCTCCCTCTTAATATTGTCTCGTGTCTTTCTGGAGAAATAATTACATCTTCAAAAATAGTAGAAGCTTTGTCTTCTCTTTTTCAGAATTTATACTTTTACCGTATACTTTTCTTTTTCTATCTTACTTTTTTCTTTCTCTTTTGCCTTAGTGCATTAGCCAGGACTGCCAGTGTAATACTGAATAGTAACAGTAAAACTGAGCATTTTAGCTTTGTTCCTGAGTTCGAGGGGAATACTTACAATGTTTACATTGAGGCTTTCTGATAGACACCTTTTTTCAAGTTAAGGACATTTTCTGCTGGCTCTGGTTTACTAAAAGTTATTTTTTTTAATCAGGCCTGTGTATAGGATATTTATCAAAATGCCTACTAAAGAATCTTTGAGAATTGTATCATTTTTTCTCTTTTAATCTGTTTCGTCCAGAGTAAATTATATTGAAACATTTTATGAATTCAGTTATTAATTTCACCAAAGTAAAACATATATGTAGCCTAAAGTATCAGTCGATAAGGCCTTCACAAACACAACTAGTTCTTTCTGCCATCTTCCCAAATGGATTATCTTTAGCTTTTTGGCTCTTCCTTTTGTATTTACTTCTGTAATTTGAAATGATATGCTGATACAGCTCTTTGTAATTTTTCGAGTTTCAGACATTAAATTGTTCACATAATAGGACAGAAGATGAAGACTTTTTCTGTAACACTCCTTTTCATTCCCTGTCCATTCTCATAATACATCACAGTTGGAGGTTCATCAGTAATCAGTGTTACCATTATGATGACTATTTAAATGTTGTTCACAACCAAGTTATCTAGGTTTTATATATTATAAAATATATAAACTGCATAAAATATATAAATGTATTATATATTTTATAATATATAAATATATATAAATATATAAATCTATTTATAATATATAAATATATAAATCTATAAATGTATTATAATTACATTTCCTTTCCTGTGCAACATCCCCCCAACCCCCGCAAATAACTATTGCCCTCTTATATATATGCTTGGATTTTGTGCATCGTCACTATGAATTCTTCCCAAGCACTCTGCAGAATTCTAAAATTATTCTCAGTACAGTGAGACACATTGGGTTATTTATCAATTCCATTTTACTTTCTTGGGGAAGCCCTCTGGATAATTCCCTCCTGGAATTATCCATTCTCCTGATTCCATCAGTTCTGGTTAGTTTCAGTTTCCAAGGCTGACCTTCTGAAGCTTGACAGCTCTCCTGTGTTGGGTCTTGTTTTGTGGATTACACGTATACCTCTTTCTTGCTTTACTATCTCATTTTGGTTTACCACATTATCCAGTAGCCTCCTGACTAAGAGCTCATAGAAGATTTATCTCTCTCTCTCTCTCTGTGTGTATATATATATATAATATTTTGTATATTGTATATTTTGTTTTATATATATATATTTTTTATATATATATATAGTATATTTTGTTATATATATATATATAGAGAGAGAGAGAGAGAAAACCTACCTTACTGGGATTTGAGAGACACTATGTATGTGTGTGTGTGTGTGTGTGTGTGTGTAAATTGTACATGTCTGGAAAAAATTTTATCCTTAATCCTCACAACTGCATAAATATTTGTTAAGTATAAATGCAGAGTTTGGAAATTAATTTAGTTCACTGTCTTGCAACTTCTGGCATTGCTAATAGGAAGCCTGATGCCATTGTGATTCTTGATCCTGTCTTTTTATGTCACCTATTTTGCCTCTCTGAAACTTTCTGGCTCTTCTCTTTAATCCCTTGATTCTAAAATTTCATGATGGTTTGCCTTAATATGAGTGTTAAATTCATTTGTTGTGCTTTGCTCCTCAGGGCCTTTTCAAATGGACAACTTTATTTCAATTCTGATCATTTTGCTTGTGATATTATTTGATTATTTTTCTCCCTTCTGCTTTATCTCTCTCTTTTATCTTTTGGAATTCCTGTTAGTTGGATGTTAGGTTTCCTAGATTGATCCTCTGGAGACTCCCTGTTTTTTTCTTGAAAATATTGTATGTCTTCTTTTCTTGAATCTACCTTCTATGACATTTTCTGAGGACCTTCATTCCTTCTAGTGATTACAAAATTTCTGCCATTATATCTTTAATTTCCAAAAGCTCTTTTGAAAAGTTGGTTGTCTTTTATAGCATCTTGTTGTTGTTTCAAGAAATCAAAAATTTTCTCTCTAATAATGAGGATGATAATTTTTTAAATTTCATGTTTCTTCCAAGATTGTTTTAAGTTAGTTCCTTCCAGGTTTCCTTCCCAGCTCCTGCTCCATTATTTGCTTGTTCTGAAAGAATTCATCAAGTGTCCATTGGGTAACCATTCACATTTAAGAATCAGACACTAAAAATTTGATTAGGAGCTCTGTGCAAGG